GTTGTTGGATAGATGTTTAGGAAGCGGTGGTAAAGCTGTTTCGAATTAATCATTCGCAACTTCATATATACTCTATCTAGCGATGTATATTTGTAAACGTCATACGAGCAACGCTCCCTCAGAGATTATCATGAGTGTCACTTGTAATAACTGTAATTTCAGTCATTGTGATCTGCATAAAACTGTACATATTTGGGGATGTATTCAATTCATGAATCTAGTATCCAACTGATCCAACAACCATTATTTATACATAGTGATTCGGCAGAAATTAGGAAATGTAAACCATCGAGATCTGGCGTGATGGCTGCGAAGACTGAAAGCTGTCAGTTTAGATCTAGTTAAGTGATTTAATTTTCACTCGTTTTCCAAACGAAACTCATTTGTGATAAAAAAAAATATCCTAGCACCATATTAAGAATTTAACAAACATGATGTACTTCAACATCAAATGTTCAAGTTAGCAAACGTTTAAGGGAATAATGAACGGTTTCCATCCAGCGATAAAATTCGCACTCGAAATGGAGAACGAGTCTAGTATTCATTTCTTCAATGTGAACTTATCCAGGGAGACCAATGGAACTCCGAAGAGATTGATTTACCAAAGCTGTCACGGAATTGTCAACTGACAAATTTATACAGCTGAGTATCTATTGGTCAAAAATGAAACCTGATCCAGTGGATTCCTACTCGCATTTCGCGCATATGTAGCCCTGATACTGTGGAGGATAGGTTAAATCTCTTGAGGAAAATCCTGATAGAAAATGGGTCTCCACCACGTTTTATAGACAAGAATATATAGTCAAATCCTTTGGAATGTGACTCATTATCCGTGCTCAAGAAAATGCTGTACGAGAGCTTGGAATTCAAAGGTGATGACTTAGCTTCCGATATCATGAAAACAAGGATATCACAGTCCCTGAAAAGAACATTCCCTGCTGCATCTTTGAGAATATCCTTTACCAGTCGACCATTACTGTCCAATAACCTGCAGGACAAGATCCCGCTGTTGACCAACTCTGTGTGCATTTATCAATTCAACTGCTCGTGTGGAGCTAGGTATATGCCTGTCTGTTTTCGATATAGAACTTTGCATTGATGTGCAGCAGTTTAAGTCACCACATTCCATGTAGCACACAAAGCAAGAGAAGAAATTAGAAGAAATGCATAATAGAGAGAGTAGACAGGGGGATATGAGACAGCTAGGTATATCAGTCGTTCGACTAGAGTTTTGTCTAAGAGGGTGCAAGAACACTATGCTGCATGGTTATGAAGAGGTGGAAGTGGAGCAATAAGAAGCGCGATCATTGAACATCTGGTCGATAATGATTACCCTATCTCTATAGCCTCCGCCTTTAAAGTCATCTACAAAGCAAAAAGTAATTTACCCAAATCACTACTTGCCCGACTCATCTGTACTGCTGAAGCTTTGGCTATCGAAACAAAAAAGCCAGATCTCTGTGTACAAAAAGTTCATGGAACCCGTCCAACTTTCATGGTCTTAATCCCTATATGCTAAAGTATGGTAATCCCTAATCATATTTTGGCTCATTGATATAAGAATAAACCTTGTGCCCTGTGGTAGAGTGTAATTCCATTATGGGTAAATTTTGTTTTGATAAAGTCTTACAGTGTTATGCAGTAATGTTTACTGATGACATTTCAAGCACAATTTATGGCTCATAATCATATCAAGGTACTCACACGGCTTCTTAACTTCATTCATATAGTTCCATTATTTTTCACTTGATTTCCGCTTGGTTTTATTTTATTTATTTTTATTTTGGCTCCACTAATCTTTTTCGTTTTGTCTATTCACTTTGTATACTCTTCCTTTATTACGTCAATTATTACTATTACTATTCTCACTCTGAACTGTTCCAGGTATTATTCCACTTATTCCATTCTAAGTCGATTCTGTTTTGCAACGTTAAATTCCATGTTATCGAATTTCACACAATGCTACGTAATCTTTTTATTTTATTCGATTTGCCCACTAATCCTATAATTGCACACCTCTTTCAAGTCCTATACATCCCATAAATTATTCTATATGTGACATTAATTGTTTTGTTAATTGACACTTAACTATGATTATATTCATAAACACTTCGATTGCATTTTATACTAATATTATTATTTTATGCATTCCCACCTATGGTTCAATTCCCACACCAGATATAACTTCTTAAAAACCATATATATATATATATATATATATATATATATATATATATATATATGATTGTACAGCTTGATAATAAATTCATTGAAAACAATCTTCGCTGTACCATTTGTTTTGATTTTCAGTAACGAACACTTTTCGCTTTTTCATTGGTATCTAAATTAAACCATTATATCTGTATTCGCCTTTTCTAAGGAACAATTATATAAAAGGTCAGAAGAGAACGAGCGGAAATCCGAACAGGTTACTGATTTTTTATGACAAAATAATCAGCTATTGTTTCTAGGTTTATGAGCTTACAACATATATTGCCGTCTACCATACCATGGTGCAGAATCCCACTCCTTAATGAACAAAGTCCACATGAATTGAACCAGTAGTTAATAATACGATAGGTCTCGGGAACAATTTGCTTTGACTACCATGTACTTCAAACATCACTTATATGATGAGAGTTGAGAAAACAATCAGCTCATTATACTCAACGTATTCCAGAAAAACTGTGAATTTGTCGAGGTTGCCAAACTGATCATTAGTAAAAAATAGTAGTCTGCGTCGGTGGTTCAGCGTTAGCATACTCGCCAACTACACATGTGATCCGAGGTCCGATCCCCGACCGATGAACCTCTAAACGTCGCTGAGCCGGTAATAAGGCCAGTAAAGAGGGAAGGTTGGGCGTGAGGCTAACAACCCCACTTTGCAGGAATAAAACCACTGCCACCGAAAATTCAAAGCTCTAGCTTGGGGCTCAGTCGGAACGTAAAGGAATAAAATAATAAGGAAAAAACCGGTAAGCGAAAATCAATAAGACTTAATGAATATAATTTCTGCGTTGACGTTTCTACAGAAATCCATGTCGGTTAAAATAACCTGTGAGAAACCAGGGAGTATTAGAGGCGTGTTTTATATTAATTCGATATGCTTAAACTTGCAAAGGTCACGTTTGACGATGGGGACTTTATCACCCAGTTGTTTGATCAGGACGTAATAACCCGTGTTTTCTTAAATCTGTTAGTATTACAACACGTTTATCAACCACTATTTTAGGTGGCTAACTAACCATTCCCACAACTTAGTTAAAAGTATTCCTCATAAAACTCAAAAAAAAATTTGCTTATTCTCCTGGGTAGTTATAGGATCAGTATTTCTGAAGAGTCCTGTACAAAGACACGACAGATAATTAGCCTACCCTAGTTTTTCATTTAATAAAGAATCGTATCTAGACCTGCCTTGAAATGAAGTATATTCCCATAAACCTAAGAACCGAAATAATATTTTGTTTACAATTTGGATTTCTAGCAAAACAGAATTCATCCTTTTTGTTTACATTTGTGAAGACACATACACACATACGCACAGACGGAGAGAGAGAAGAATAAAAAACAAACACAACACAACACTTTAATTAATCGTAGCATTAAGTATAGACCCCACAGAAATAAACAAGTAAAATTGCCCTGTAAAAAGCTTATTACTTTTATGACCATTATTAAAGACACACAGTGACGACAGCGACCGCAGTGATGGAGAAAAACAACAACAGTTGTAGTTACTCAGTCAATAAAAAAAGAAAGAATCAGTCCGTAGTACAGGGTAAAATCACTAACCTACAAATGAATGACTACTGCTACTACTACTACATATGGTTTAAACAACAGTGCCAGTGATAGAAGTAACAAGGCTTACGTAAAAGAATTTTCATACATTTATTCCCCTTAATGAATTTGAACAATGCAAGAACTACAGTTTTAGCAGAATAAAATGGTACCATCTTTTATTTCGTTGCCTTCTCGTCAGCTGCTTACATGGCAAAGACATTATTAAATATATCTACAACAACAATTTTAACATACTTGCACAGAGTTCAGTTTAAACAAAAATCAATCGATCAATATACTCATACACTAAAAATATATACATATATAAATATGCAATATTAACCACTATTCCGAACAATAATAATCAAACACAATGGAAACTTTTAGCATTTCACATTCGGAGGAAAGAGAGGTGAAATTATCCAGTTACCAGGGCAAAGAAAGGCTGATAATCGCTTCTTTCTGGACGCATAAATCAGGTTTCATGCGCTTGATGGAAATGGCTTCAGCAAACTTAAGGAGAATGGAGCTATTTTGCTTATTGATAATTTTGAACGACTTTTCAACGTCCACCTCATGACCCGTGTCGAGAAGATGCCTGGTGATGGCACTATTTAAAGCATTTGTTCCCTTTAGACGTAAGCTTTTTGGTACATGTTCATGAAATCGTAGATATGCCCTTCTTTCTGTCCTTCCAATGTAACTGCTCCCGCAGATACATGTAAATTTGTATACACAGTTGGAGGTAACATGAGAAGGATATCTATCGATTTTCGATTGCACCAAAGAGTAAGTTGTTCGATAGACGGGAACGAGCTTAGCTGCAGGATACGCTATGGCTAGTGATGTACTCAGCCTTCTGTTGATAATCGCTGCAATATTTTCACCTTTGTAATCAAGCTGAAGGTAGACTGGCTTTTTTTCCACTGTGATTTGTTTTACTCTTTTGACTTCAGATCTTCCATACTTGTTGATGAACCTTTGAGGATACCCATTTCTCTTCAATATATTTTCAAGGAACTCAAACTCCTCCTCTAGTTTCTCTGTAGAGCATATTCTCCTTGCTCACCTCGACACCATAGTTACATTTAGATATCTTTAAAACAAAATCAAGTAGATTGTGATTCATTTTTCATCAAAGTCACTTTAAATACATTTACAGACATGTGTAATTTTGCAGACATAAATACAACAATATATATTACTACTAATGATGGCGACGACAACAAGGATGACAATAAGAGTAACAAGGAATAAACAACATTCAAAGAAGGCAAAAATAAAAAACTTGTAACTTATGCATAATAAACATTAGTTATACTCCACTCTGTAGATTAAGAAAGTTGATAAATGGGAAAAAAGTGTCTACTGATGAAAAAAAAATAGCAAATTATATGAGCAAGAGTTGATTTTGTTTTCTACACTTTCTAAATGTATTCATTTTATCTAAAACTATCCCCCATAAGTCCTAGGTACACATAAGGACCGACCATGTAGACTGTAATGCACACTTCAAAGTAGACATAGTCAAAGAACTGAGGTCACTTAGATAATCATTGAAAGCTAGGAAGTACTGAATAACTCTTACCTCTTACTTTGGCATCTTATCAAGGGTGGATATGTGCAAGTAATTACGAAATATCGCTGTCTTTCCAAAAAGACTTATCAACCTAATAAAGTCTTAAAACTTAACTATACCCATAAAATCTGTTCAAAGACAAGAAGTAGTAGAGACGCTTTACAATGTGATGAAATATTCTTATGAGTAGTAACCGATTTTCCGGATGCTGTTTGAGTATTTCTTCTATAAGAAAAAAATCAGTTTGCCGTTGTATTCTCTGATTCGACTCACTGATAAAATAAGAAAAGAACTAATCAGATAAGTTAAATCCATGATAACATAAGTGCAAAAACAAGACAAAACGCCGTAATACATTCAGAAATATATCACTATAATAGCATAACATGATATCAAGCTTAGGCTTAGAATGCAATGTCAGGAAGGGAGGTTTATCGATCAAACTGTGAAGCCATAACGACTGAGATTGCTAAGGCATACCTTCCGTATGCCTAGCCACCATGGCCATCGTCAGCCTATGTTAACCGACATAGGATAAGATTGGAAAATAGTTAGAAGTGGTCCATGAAGTCTATAGCTGCTTGATTGGTCTGACCTTCCAGGGAATTGTAGACCTCCGGGTCAGGATCCTCAGGTTGATAAGGTCCAATTGTTTGAGACTTGATGATATGGTTCAGAATTGGTCTCAGTGGTTCAGATACATTCACTCTTTCTTTGTGAGTTATATACTGGACTCAGTGATGAAACTCGGTTAGTAATCATGATTAGATAGCTAGATATCAACAACAAACGACTTTGTACAAATGAGCACTAGTTTAATTTACTGAGACTTCAGTATATTTATGTGGATTTTAATAATAATAGTAATAATAATAATCAACTATAGTAAAAAGTATACAGCAAAGTCGAAGGCTGAAAAAAGAACTAAGTGGACATGCTATTAAAATTAAAGTGACGAGCACATAAGCATACAGAGACTTAATCCACTAAAAGTAGCTTTGAAGACTGAACTGAACTTTCATCATAGAACTTGGCACAAAAATGTAACAATTTCAAGTTATCACATAAAATAGAGACAATAAAAGACAGGCAAAGGAAGAATAAATGTAATAAATGTGAATGTATGGGAGAAAAAAGTAATCACATAGAGAAAGATATGGATATTCAGTTTTTGGCAGACACCAAGGAGTGAATACATTTGCGAATATCTGAGAACGAATTTTTCGGCCATGTCGTCACCAACAGTCACCAGTTATCCTAAATTATCAGTTAACCAGAATATATAAGCACAATTACGTATTACAAGTGAAAATAATTTCCAACGAGCAAGAAGTAAATTCTGAAGTGGATAGGAGTACACATTTCAGTTTAAAAACGAGATCTTCTGCATAATATTATAATTCTTACAGTTATGAGACAACGAAAACCAAGTCCTTGTGAAATGTAAACATCAGTCGACTTTTCGGATTTATTTTTTTGGTTGATACTTTAATAGCTTGAAAATTCCCATTCAGTCATAGAAAAGAAAAAGTGTTCAACAAAGAGTTACTCTTTTCGCCGATATCATTCTCAAGCTGTACAAATCGCAAATTTATAGTAATTTGTCTTGGCAACAAAAGGAATATTTCCAAAGATGTGTTAATGCAATTGTTAGTTTTTGACAAACAGATTACGTAATTTTGAAGGCGTTAATCGGTTAGAAACTAAAATAAAGTTACAAAAGTAGGTTGGGTGACATAATCTAATTGGTAGGGTTCAATGAAAAAATGAATGAGAGTTAAATTAATAATCTGAGTAGAATTCACTTGAAAATGAATGAGAGTTAAGTTAATAAGCTGAGTAGAATTCACTTAAAAATAAACGAAAATCGAGTTAGCAACAGTCGTCATGAGCGTAGAGATTTAAGAGAGGGTGGGGGTAGAAAATAATGCAATTAAGAAATAGACAAACAAAGAAGAAAGAGGTAAGACAAAATTACGTATTTGGTGTTAAGAAAGATCAGGACCATTGCTATCCAAACGAATCAGCGAACACTTACCTTCATGGTTTTATAAAGGAGAAAGAAGATCGCCCCGCCACAGCTCTATCCTAGAACACTTGATCGAATCCGGACACCAAGCAAACCCACAAAACAACTTCTCAGTTATCTACACAATACGTGGAAATCTTGCCAAAAGAGTACGAATTAAACTTCTTCAAACTGCAGAAGCAATGGCAATTCACATACTGAATCCTGAACTCTGCATACAAAAGAAGTATGTTCAGTCACTAAATCTACAATGGTCCTGATCTATCTTAACACCAAATACGTAATTTTGTCTTACCTCTTTTTTCTTTGTTTGTCTATTTCTTAATTGCATTATTTTCTACCCCCACCCTCTATTAAATCTCTACGCTCATGACGACTGTTGCTAACTCGATTTTCGTTTATTTTTAAGTGAATTCTACTCAGCTTATTAACTTAACTCTCATTCATTTTCAAGTGAATTCTACTCAGATTATTAACTTAACTCTCATTCATTTTTTCATTGAACCCTACCAATTAGATTATGTCACCCAACCTACTTTTGTAACTTTATTTTAGTTTCTAACCGATTAACGCCTTCAAAATTACGTAATCTGTTTGTCAAAAACTAACAATTGCATTAACACATCTTTGGAAATATTCCTTTTGTTGCCAAGACAAATTACTATAAATTTGCGATTTGTACAGCTTGAGAATGATATCGGCGAAAAAAGTAACTCTTTGTTGAACACTTTTTCTTTACTATGATACTTTAATGTTAAGGATGTGACAATATGTTTTGTAATAATGGTGTAATGAATTAACCGATGTCACTCATTGAAAGAATTTTATTTCCTAGTTGAGAGGTAACAAATCCAGAAACAAGGATTACACCTTATTTTGGAGTAGTTACATCCTGTGAACCGAATGGTCTAGAAAACTTCAGTCTGAAGCTTTACAACTGAACCATTCAACTCAGAGAACACAACCACACCAAAATCACCCACCTGAGCTACAAATCTTCTGTGTTATACTACACCTTATCCCCTATATTCGCTTGTCATCGCACATACACCTTTTTTTTTCCTTCACGTTCCCCAGTGGAACATAGGGGTTCAAGCTAGTGGCTTACATAGGATGAATTTGTATCTAATAGACAATTTGAAGAAGCTGCATTCTTACATATGCTTAACAGTCAACAAACGAAAGATCAATACTTCTTAGTTAATCAATAAAGCCTTGTCTATTCAGGAAATTACCCAACATTTCATACACAAATCCTCACACTCGCTCCCCGTATCAATAAACAAAAGTATGTAGAAAAAACAACATTCTCTAATAGTTTTAGGGTCAGTGGTTGCAAATATACCCCAATCAATAAGTTCATAGTGAAATTAAAAACATTGTAAAATTAGTTTCCCCTTTTTAATTGGATATATAAATAGATCATTATTTGTTAAACAAAAAAAGAAACAATTTTGTGAATACCTCTAAAATAAACAACAACAAAAACTTGCTAACAGCAGGACAACACAATGAGAAATCTGAGAACAATAGGCCATAAAATGGACCTGCTTATATATATATATATATATATATATATATATATATATATATGCATACATAATATATAGGATGGAGTGGTATGAGGTCATGTAAGTGAAAAATAACGAAAAAGGAAAACCGAGATGGGAACAGTGTACACTGAGTGAAGAGGGAAATGGAAAAAAATGTGACAATGCAAATGACACACACACACAGACACAATGAGATGATAAAACAAGTTAATTGTAATACACACTACGAAAAAAATGAGAAATTGAACAAATTAAACCATGGTGGCCTTACCTAACCTGACCGGACCAGGTCATGACAAAGAAAGTTTATTATGGTGTTTGAATAGGAGTGAGACCAGAGGGAAAGGAATGCAACAGACAGAGATGCAGCACTTGAAAAAAAACAGGCAACAAACTGAGAAGGGGAAAATAACTCATAGTAAATGAATAATTCTCAAACAGATGGAGAAAAAGGGGTCAAAACTATGAGGGTATAAAAAGCACTACAAAAAGACACTGTAGCGTTTGCGTGTGAACTTAATTAGAAACCTGGAGATTTCAGTTCTTATTAATTTTCCCCTTTCTATTTTTTTATTCTCCAGTCATTGAGGAAAACAGACACACACATATTCATACATACATCGTAAAGCAAACAGGAAAGAACAAGACAATGTACATGCCTACAGAATAGTGTCCCTTCATGTGTTATTGATTAAAACACAAAATGAATACACTACAGGAATTCGCTTACTCAGTAGGTAATGAGTAGAAACAGCCCAAAAGAGGATTTTCACCTTAGTATTATGCGGGAGAATAGTAGAAAAAGGGATTAATATTACCAGCTGGTAGAAACATTTCCGTAATAATTATCACAAAGAATAAAGAAAAAAACCAAATGTAAGAACGCGATATAATATACTCATTGTTGTTATTATTCCCATAGGTCCCAAGTGGAACATAGGGCTTCAACAACACATCTCCACTTCGTTCTGTTTTCTCGACATCCTCTTCAGCTGAGTTCACAAATAAACATAATCTTTCATTATAGGTTTCCAGACCGTAGGTGTTACGAATTTCCTGGAATAATTTAAGCGCCGAGTCAGATTGATTCATTATAAATTATTTAAATTAATCCCAGCGTGTTAAGATAATCTTTCATCTCTTACTCACACAATCGCTTTCATGTCACCCTCGAATTGACAACCCACTCGTCGCTTCCCATTCCGATTCCACTCGAGCTATGGTCTGCATTCGCGCGATGTCAATCAACGGCCTGTTACGCGTTTACCCAATCCATCTCCATTTTCTCCCACATATTTGTTGAACAATCGGCTCTTGATTGGTTTGTTCCCAGCCATAGTTTCTTCAGTATGGAGTCAGTGAAGGCGGCTGTTGATGGAAGCCTGGACTAGCTTGTTGGAAATGCTTTCCGTGACATGCAGTGCAAGTTTCTGACCCACATTTAAGGACCGACTTGATATTGGTGTTGAAAATCTGAATCTTGTTCCTTATGCTGAGTGTAGATTTCAGGTTGATGAAGGCGTATCTTGCCTTTCCGATTCTGGCTGGCCAGCTTTGACATCTTCATCCATTCCGCCTGGAGTTGAAACGATGTTTCCCAGATAAGCGGTGCTAGTCTCCGTCAAATCTCTTCTATTGATGGTGATTGGTTTTTGGTTGTTGTAGATTTGGGTTGGTTATCTTTATCACCTCCGTCTCCACCTTCTCTGTGTTCACCCGAAGTTGTGTCTTCGTCGCCTGCCTGCAAGTCTTCAAGTTTCTGTGACATTAAATACAAATCATCTGAGAAATCCAAATCATCTAGAGTCATCTTACCAGCCCAACATATTCTTGACTTCTCACTCACAACACACAGTCTGACGCATAATCTAGCTGTGAATAAGGCAAATCCAAAGGTGAGTAAAAACCACTGGATTTCGACTGCCTCATCCGAACTGATAGATGCTAGAAGACTTATTCCGGCGAGCTCCGAATTCAATGAGGAGCGAAAGCTGCACAAAAGGAAACTTACTAAAAGTCTCCGCAAGGACCGTGAACAGTGGTGGGTGACAAAGGCGAAAGAGATGGAAAAAGCATCGGCGATAGGCAACACTAGGCAACTCTTTAGACTCATCACAGAATCGGGGGAGAAGGCAATTCATAAGTGAGACTATTTCTGAGAAAAATGGCTCCTTAATTAGCTCTCAGGATAGACGCCTTGAACGCTGGAAAGAACACTTTGAGGAACAATTTAACTTGCCTACAGCCACACTGAACCTCCCCGCCATCCACCACGTACCCGAATGGGATATAGACACTGGTCCGCCGTCTGTAGGTGAGGTTACAAAAGCTATCAGTAATTTGAAACGAGGCAAAGCGGCAGGACCCGACGGAATTATTCCGGAGGTGTTTAAATATGGGGGTGACATACTAGTTTGTAGATTAACTGAGGTACTAGGCAAAGTCTGGGAATCAGAGACAGTCCATCAGACTGGGGTAAGTCACTTATTATACCGATATTCAAGAAGGGAAACAAGTCCTCGTGTGATAATCATAGGGGGATCAGCCTAACGAACATAGTCTCTAAAATCCTAGGCTCAGTAATCATGCATAGACTAAGCAGAACTCGGGAGGAACAGACAAGGGAAAATCAAGCAGGCTTTAGACCAGGTAGAGGGTGCATAGATCATATCTTC